GCTACTTCTGGAATGAACTCCATAAGTAAGGCTCATTTCTCTCATAATTCATCTCTGAGCTGTCATGGTTTGCTGGTTAAGTAGAGAGAGAGAGATTTATGGGATTGAAATGCTGAAATATTGTGGCAAATAGGATTTTAGCAATGGGGAGAAGTTGCCAAATAAATTCATCTCCTGTATTTTTGTGTTGCTTTCTGCTTTCAGTTCATTTGGCTACAAATGAGCCAAGAAATAGTGTTTCTTTGTTGGCAGCCTTGAGAAAGCTCAAGAATTGTGGACAATACACTGCTGGGGTTTTCAGTGATCCCTTTTGTGCTCCTGCAGCTTTGTCCCCTGATGTTTTGTCCAGGTCACTTTCCAATATCAGTGCATTGTGTCCACTCTGCATAGAAACCAAAAATGCTTTAAACATATGTATATGTTATCACACTGCACACACACATCTTCTGCATGTCGACTCAAACTCACTGTGTCTGTGACATTGTCACTATTGATAGGGATAGGAAAGTTAACTTTTTCCCTTTTCTTTTTCTTTCTGAAGGGTATGACCCCCCTCATGTATGCCTGTGCTGCTGGAGATGAAGCCATGGTCCAAATGCTTATAGATGCTGGAGCAAATTTAGATATACCTGTGAGTAACAGAGGAACCTCTCCCCATAATTATTCATCTGTAAACTAACAAGAGCACTTATGAAATCTCTCCTAGCAACTGAAGGCTTCCGTTCTGGAAGCTTCTAGCAAAGCATTGCTTCAGGGATTTAGGAGAGGGAAGAAAACTGGAGCACTCAGTGCCTGCAATTATGATTGGCATTGGCAAGTTTAATAGGCATGGTGGGGGAAAGGAGCTGCCACAAGGAGAAACCAGTAAGCCCATTAGAAAGGCCCAGGGGACTGGACAGACTGACTGGTAGTAGCAGTGTTCTCTAAGTGGCCTAAGTCACTGTTCCCTGGGGTTGTCACAAAGGAAAAAGCCAGTTCTGTGCAAGATGATGGCAGACAGGCTGGAGTGGGTGATGACTCCTGGTTCCCTTCTCCCAGGTTCCCAGCACCTCTCCACGACACCCTTCGGTCCATCCCGACAGCCGACACTGGACTGCTCTCACCTTTGCTGTGCTACATGGGCACATCTCTGTGGTCCAGGTAAGATTCTGGTCGGGAATCCTTAGAGGAGACATGGAGGGACTGAAATGCAGCACTGTGAGGCAAGTGCAGGGCAACACCTTCACTCTCGGCCCTCCTGAGCACAGGACTGTCACAGGCTCCATGTGCAGATTCGTGGGAACTTTCTACAAACCAGTGAAAAACTGCTTGGTTTGAAGTGAGGAGAATGACAATTGATGATGTAATTCCTAGCAAGGCCCTGATACCAAAACACAGTGTGTTTCCTTAATTTTCTTTGTTTTCAGTATTGGTCCAAGGTGTGCCCCTTGCAGAACTGCTGCACAATCATTTCTTTGGTATCAGATAATCTAGTGCTTCGTGTGGAGTGGTTACAGGGTGACCAGGATGCTGACAGTGGATATTAATTGGTTTATAAATTTACATGTGCAAAATTCAGTCTGTGCTGATTTCTGCTCTAATGGCAGCAAATCATCTGTAATTTCCTTTATAATCCTTGAGAATTGCATGAACAAGACTTAAGCTATCATGGGATTTGAGCCTGTTGCACCCTCCCTGCTCCCTTTTCTGTGGAATTAACACAGGGGGCAGCAGAATGGGGTGGAGCCCTAGAAATCCTACCCAAAGTTCCAGAGGAATTAAAAACTGATCACAGCAGATAGTCAGTTGTTGATGAATTTAATTTAGCTTCTGTGCAAAGGTGGGGGAAAACAAAGAGCTGTAAGTAAGTGGAGGCTGCACATATTCATCCTCTGTTTGTGTACATTTGTAAATAATTATAAAGATGAGATTCCATCTGGCAAATTGCCCAGGCAGCCTTTGGTATTCCAAAAGGTTGGACGGCCTTAATTTACATGTGAGATACGAGTTGATTCTCCCAGGAGATGCAACCAAGGATGTCAAAGCTCCTGCTGGACTGCACTGCCCACAGTCACAGACTATCCTGGTGATGCACACAGGGCCAGGGCTGGTCCTCCCTGCCACAGGGACCTGCCAGCAGTGTCCCAGTGCTGTCTGCCAGCCCCACCTGGCCATGAAGCATCCCCATCATCTGGTGACCTTCTCCCCCTTGTCTGGGAGGGGTTATTTCCCTTGCAGGCAGCTCAGTGGTTCAATGAAAGCAGGTTCTGTGTGACAAATCACTGCAGCTGCCAGACCTCCTTAGGCAGGCTCCACAGGACAACAGACCAAGAGGTATGACCAGCCTCCAGGGCTAATTCCCGGGAGGAACTCTGCTTCCTGCACACAGCATGAAGCTAAGTAAGATGGACTTCCCGTGCTCAAGAGAAGCTCCGATTGCAGAGCTCTTTGGAGTTGGGAAATTACAATTGCAAAGCCACATCCATAAAGGAGATAAGCAAAGCAGGCAATGTTCTTCCAGGCTGCCAGCCCAGCCCCTCTCCACCTTTCCAGCAGAAACTCACCACTGAAAGCGACACAGTAAGCAAAAGAAAGTAAGAAAAGTCTAGACTGGCATTCATGTGGGGGTTTTAGCCTGAGGCTGAGTGAGGAAACACAAGAGAAATTTGCCTGGTAATAGGAATTTTGCTTTAGCCTTTGAGACAGGCCCTTTGTGTATGTGTCCTGCTCACTCTGAATCCACTGCTTTTCCTTTCTAACACACAGCCACTTCTGTTTGGTCTGGCTCAATTGCTCTGTTCTCAACTCCCTTTCATGTGCCCATGCAGCTGCTTTTGGATGCTGGTGCCCACGTTGAGGGCTCTGCTGTCAATACTGGAGAGGACAACTACGCCGAGACACCCCTCCAGCTGGCCTCAGCTGCAGGTGAGCTCCATGTGGCCTCAGCACACTCTGTCTCTGGCTACCACAACCCTGATGGGCACTGGGGTTTGCTTTTGCAGCTAGTCCCACACTTGCCTCCTGTCAGTGGCCTCCAGAGCAAAGCTGAAGGCAACAACTCCCTTGTAGAGCACTGTCAAGAAACATAAGCAGCTCCTGCCTAGTCTAGGCATGTAGTGGATCTAAGTAACATCCAGCTTCAAAAATTAACAAGTTTAAATTCAGCCTGGGGAAAAATAACTGTTATAAAAAGAAATTTGGTTTCTTAATTTATTAAATACAAGTAAAATTCTGCATTTCTTCTAGTTAGCTGTCAGGAGTTTAGAGTTCTGTGAACAAGTCTGTGCTAGCCTAAAAGTACCTGTTGTTTTGAACACTTTGCATCTCTAACTGGTTTTACTTTTTTCCTTCGTTTCTTTGTGCTTCATTTTTGTGCACTTATGAAGATAAGTCTCTGGCTTGCTCTGCTCCAAGCTTTACTGAAGGGATCAAAAGTGGTCTCCTCCCCTCCCAGTGACACATGCTCACTGTGCTGGGTCTCCTGCCACAATCCAGGATTCCATCTAATGGGAGCAGAGGGAAGGAGTCCTGCCCGTTACCAGTGCTACATTTTATGCTTCCAAAGAGGGTAACAGACATGGAAACATAATGTTTCTGTCCATTTTTCCCTAGGGAATTACGAGCTGGTCAGCTTGCTGCTCAGCAGGGGTGCTGATCCACTCCTGAGCATGCTGGAAGTCAACGGGATGTCCTCATCACTCCATGAAGACATGAATTGCTTCAGCCACTCAGCAGCACATGGGCACAGGTAACACACTGTTCTGTTCAGAACAGAGGCTTTTTGCCTAAATCTGTCAGCTGTAGGTATTCCTGTGTGACTTTCTGACCCAGTTCCCAGGGTGTGCAGTTCAGATGGTGTTGAGACTCTGCTAAGAGCAGTTTCTCAGACTGTTCTGATGCAGGTAGTGCCTTTAGAGCATCATTCCTTAAACTGGTGGTTGCTCTCTGTTTCATCCTTTTGAGAAAAAAAATGATGCAAGATATCATTATTCAGCAACTCTGATAAAAGAAAGGGATAATATTTTAATCAAAAGCACAAAATAGAACAAATATATTTGGTTGCTTTTTCTTATTCTCATGCTTGCTGCTCTAGCTCTGCAGCTCTAAGAGTGAGCAGGAGTTGCTCCTGGGCTCTAGATGAGCAGACTAAGTTCCACCTAAGGGTAGGTAATGAGATTGAGGTTATGAGATTGTGGTTCATGTTCTGAAACAGAAGGTGGCAAAAATAATCTGCTGCAGAATCTGGTTGGCTGCACCTCTGGTTTTTTGGATGGCCAACCAAGAGATGAGCTATGCTGAACAGCCAGCCTGGGCTTTCCAACCCTGTTTTCAGGGTGGTTATTTAGAAATAGGCATTACTTACAAACTCATCCAGAAATCCTTCTGTTCCCAGAAAAAAAATGTTAGTGTAACAAGCCAATTAAAACAGCCTTAAAACAGCCCACGGAGATGGGCTGAGAGGTGCCCACAGGGCTGCACACCAGTACAGCTGGCCCTGCCAGTGGCATGGTAATAGCAGCTACCTTGCTTGAACCCAGCTGTGCTTTACAATGCCAAAACTGCACCTCCAGGTACACTGCACATCTGGATACACCCAGGAAAATATCCCAAGCTCAAATGAGGCCCAAGCTTTGCAAAGCTCGAACAGCCTATTGCAGTTATTTGCAGTGTAATACTACACAAACACCGTTCTGTTCCCAACTCTGTTCCCCTCCCACCATCTTCTGACCATGCAAACTGTGAAAGTCAAGGCTTGTTCTCCCGTGGGATAGGACAGGGTGATCCTAAAGCCGCAAATTATTAACTGGATTTCTCCACAGGGAGTGGTGTGGGTGCAAGGAGAGCACCAGCTAGTGGCAATGCAGCAGCACAGCCCAGTGCTGGGTGGCCCTGCTGGGATGGGGGATGTCTGGAGCAGCTGGCTCCAGCTGGCTGAGGGACACCAATCATGCAAACTTCCTAAAGTGGCTGGACACAAACAAGAAAGTCTCTTCCTTGCAACTGCTGTGTGAAATTCCAAACAAATGCACCACATGAGGAGATTAGCCCATGGTTTTGCCCTTGCTACCAAGGGCATCACTTTCTAGTATGTGGGACAGGGAAGGATAAAAGTGGTTTAAATGCTGCTCCGTGTGCCTATTGTCTGTCTTTGGGAAGGAAACTCTTATTCACTAAGCCAGGTCCCTACACCTAATCCTGTCCAAACTTTTGCTATTTCCTTTATGAACAAGTGATCTCTCTTCTTGCTCCTCAGGAACGTCCTGCGCAAGCTCCTGACCCAGCCCCAGCAGGTGAAGGGAGATGTCCTCTCACTGGAGGAGATTCTAGCTGAGGGGGTGGAGAGTGACACCTCCAGCCAGGGCAGCTCCAGTGAGGGGCAGGTCAGGCTGTGCAAGACACGGATGAAGGCTCTGCAGGAGGCCATGTACTACAGCGCTGAGCACGGCTACGTGGACATCACCATGGAGCTCAGGGCACTTGGTAAGGTGCTCGGTTTAAGGCATAAAAATCTTTCAAGAGACTGGTCTCAAAACCATAAATAACCTCAGAGATCAAATGGTTGAAGGTGAAAGAATAAATCTAGTCTAAAGGCAGGAGACACAAGCGTTGAAGCTTGTGTGTTACAGGTAACCTGGAGAAAAGACCTCACACCATGTTTGTGTAGGGTTATGTAGTCTTGTAAGTTCAGTTCAAATTTATTTTGTGGTTCTGACTGATTATGAAGCTCAGTACACAACAGGGAGTCTCTGGTCCTTTACAATCAGCAGAAAGTTCCAGTTTATGATCCTGGTACCAATCCTTTGCTCTTGTAGATAAGTCATTTAATTGGTCAATGACCCAGTTCAGTCATCTTTAATATCAAGACAAAACTATCTGCTGTTAGGATGTGTGTCATGATCTACTACAGTGCTGTCAAGTGTTAATAACAACAGCAGGACAATCTACTCACAGGTACTTCAGGAAATCATCTTTGACTGTTCCTTTTCTGTGGTTGCAGGAGTGCCCTGGAAACTCCACGTGTGGATCGAGTCCCTACGGACAACCTTCTACCAGTCCCGTTACTCTGTCGTACAGACCCTGCTGAGGGAGTTTGTCACCATCAAAGAGGAGGACTACAATGAGGAACTGGTTAATGAAGGGTTGCAGCTCATGTTTGACATCCTCAAGACCAGCAAAGTAAGTGATAGTTTGTAGCAGTGCCAAAATCAAGAGCTTTTGTTGTTGGAGGAGGTTGTGCACACCAAGAAGTGGATGGCTGTGCAAAGTCCCTAAGGAGTTATGGTATAGAAGGCCCTGATTGCATTTATCTACATTCATACACAGCCCCCCAAAACACTCCTGAAGTGCACACAGGGGGGAAGGTGAGGAGCATATACAGCTCTTGATACCTCCATAATTGCTCATGACAACCTATGTTGTAACTCCCCTATAAATTAAAAGCTGGCTGACTAAACACAACTGCAAACTCAGAAGCAAACTTGTTTTCTGACTAATAGCATGACTCAAACCTTGCTGAAAACACACTTGTGGGCTCACCTGTTCTAGAGAAAGGGATGAACTTTTGCTGATGGACTCTGCTGTTGGGAGAATTCTGTCAGAGCACACTTGCTCAGATCACACACTTGTCCCTCTGAGTGCAGTTGCTATAAGCCTCAAGTGAACTGTTCCAGCACATTTGAAACCTGCTCAATACAGGGTGATGATACCCATTGTCCTCCTTACAGAATGACTCCATCAACCAGCAGCTTGCATCCATCTTCACCCACTGCTATGGCAGCAGCCCCATCCCCAGTATTCCTGAAATCCGAAAGACACTGCCAGCTCGGCTAGGTAAGGTGCTCACCTCAACAGGGAAGTTCTTGGGATTGTTGGGGTTTTATTTCTTAAAAGCATGCACAGTTTAAAAAAAAAAAATAAATCACTCTTTTCTTCCCCTTACCCCACCAGATCCTCACTTTCTGAACAATAAAGAAATGTCTGACGTCACTTTCCTAGTAGAAGGAAAGCTCTTCTATGCACACAAAGTCCTGCTGGTTACTGCATCTAACAGGTGAGTCACTGAACAGGGATGTAATTACACTATCCCTAAAAACAACTAATTGGGGAGTACATACCCAGCCCTTCACTGCCTTTCCATTCCTTGTGTGGTTTGCAGTGAAAGTGATGCTTGCTGCAGCTTTCCTGGAAATCTCACACTGACCTGCTACACTTGCAGTTATTAGGTTTTTTTCTCCATTATTGGCACAGTAATGGGTTTTTCCAGCTGTTACAGGGTGGGATTGGATCAGACCCAAGCAATTTACAGGTTAAATTGTCCCTGAACTAATTGTCAGCAAATCCAAAGAACTGTTTCCTTTTTCAACTTGCAAACAAAACCAAGGAGAGATCTTTGTTTTCCCCTCGCTTAGGCTGTTTGTCAGTGGGTGGTGTGTGCACATAACTGCAGCAATCTGGTAATTAACTCTGTTAAAACCATTCCCAGGTTCAAGACTCTAATGACCAATAAAACAGAGCACGATGGCCACGGCAGCAAAACTGTTGAAATCAGTGATATGAAATACAATATTTTCAAGGTATGTAACTTTTTATTCTTTTTCATCTTCCCACCTATTTGGAAGGTAAGACTAAGCCAAGGATTAGTATCATAGGTAATTTACAAGTAGAAATGGAATTCCTTTCAGCACATCTAAATTTCAGGAGTATTCTGATCCTTTTTCCAAACTTCTCAGGTAGGACCAACCTTAAACCAGAATCCTCCAGTCTATACTCTTATTTTCTCACTAGGCACCTGATTCCTCCCATTAGGCAGGAGAAACTAGTCCTCTACTGAAAAGTGGTTTTATACTTTTAAGACACCATTTCCACACCTTTTAAAGCACCATTTTCTCGCTGTGCTAAGTGCTAAGCAAAAACTTGTTTACAGCAGGTGCATTGCCAGGCTTCATAGTAACTCAAATCAGAGGATCAGAAATCAACAGTGTCCCAGTCTAGAAAGGCTAAGGATTGGGAATTGCACTTTGCTTTTATGCTATTTCCATATTTAAAGGACTTAAGGGAGGTTCATTCATGATGGAGAGAAAGCAGCTTACCAAACACACACCCAAGGCAAAAAAACCAAGTCAGTGAAATGTGATAGTTAAGGTATTGCAGTTTTCCAGATCTGCATTTCAGGGTTGGAAGAAAGGTACAGATCAGGGAATGTGAAGTGCAGAACAGGTTGTGTAGCTGTTTCACTACAGCATTGAGGCTTTTCCTTTTTTTCTCTTTCAATAAGCAAACAAACCAGCAGATCTGTGGGTCAGCAGTGCTGTCACCTCAGCAGAGGAAGTTGACCATGAGAATATCTTTGTTCTGCTTCAAAGAGGCTATGCAACTTTTGTATTCCAAATGTTGCACCTCAGGCCCCAACAGAAAAAAGAAATGTAATTGAGCACTGCAACAAACTTCCTTAACAGCATCAGTGCATCTAAAGGTTTCTAAAGATAAACTTGTGCTTCACTGGAGAGAGCAACAAATCAGAAAGAACTGAAACAGTGAAACACTCCATGAAATTAAACGATCAGATGAGTTAAGGAGATGCAATCTCAGTTTCGGTGGTAGATGCTGAGCCACCAGGGATCTGTGTCCTGCTCAGGGCTCTGCTGGAAAGCAGCTTTGCTCTCTTGTCACTCTCTTACACGAATAAAAACCAAATTAAAAGTAGCAGCTTGGTTTTGTTAGCACTCCTGTTAAACACGGTCAGCACAGCTTGCAGGCCCCACACCTGCTCACACAGCACCCAAAGCACTCCTCTCCCAACACCAAACCCAGTCCCTCCCCAGACAAGACTTTGGGCTGGGGCTGAGCACATGCAGATCTAAGAGCAGAAGCTGCTTCTCACTCTCCCTGCAAACAATTAGGCCTTTTCCCCAGCCCTGCTGGGGGGCTGGAAGCTGATTAGAAGCCCAGCAGGGGAGGCAAGTGGCTGGGAGGTCCCTGGGACACACATGCTCAGCTCGCAGGCAGCACCGGATCTGAGACACTTGTACAAGGACACTGGTGTTGCTCAGAGACACTGTCACCCTCGGCCTGAAATCCTCAGCAGGGCCCTTTTCAGAGCCTGAGAAAGGACTGTTAGAAAGCAGCAGATTTGCAACGCTAAGAAAAGAGTCACCAGTGTAGGCGAGAGCCAGCACAGGGCACGATTCCTGTCTGCTCAGGAAGGGCAGCACAGCCATCAACAGCCCCTTGTGCCTTCCCTGATAACTTCATGCCTGGCCTTCTTCCCATTCCAGATGCTGATGCAGTATTTATACTATGGAGGAACAGAATCCATGGAAATTCCCACCGCTGATATCTTAGAGGTGAGAGTGTTTTTTTCTAAGTCTTGCCAAGTGCACTGGGGCACAAACAGAGTTGAAAGGCAAAATCCCTGAGCTAACAGCAAGATTCCATCCAATCCAGGAGCATACTTAACACCTGGAAATGAGCTTAAAGTTTCAAAACATCATTGCTTGGTGCTCCAGTGCCATGGTGACAGAAGGAAGCACAAATACACTTACTGCAGGAGGAGTCTTTGCTAAGAGGGGAAATGTGTCTGTCAATCTGTCACTTCAGCATGGAGTGGCCTTTCTGCTCTTTCACGAGGACTTGGCCATTAAAACAGGCAGTCAGAGAGGAAATCATCCGTTCTGTTTGCCTTCCCTGAAGCCTTTCAAGGCTCATGATCTCAAATAGCTTCTCTCTCATCCCAATAGCTGCTGTCTGCTGCCAGCCTGTTCCAGCTGGACGGTCTCCAGAGACACTGTGAAATCCTCTGTGCCCAGACCATCAGCATGGACAACTCCGTGAACATCTATAAATATGCAAAGGTAAATGCCAACCCCCTTACTTAAGATGCCAGTGAAACAGCCTGTGTGCTGCCTGCAGGCTCCTGGGGTAACTAAACACCACAGGCACAGGTGAGCACCTGCCCTGCAGGTAACACTGCCCCAACCTCCACACAAGTGAGATGTATTCCAGTTCCAGTCCGTAAAGTCCTGCACAGCCCCGGTGTGTTTTCTTGTCTGAAGCAATCATGTATGAAATTGATGAGAGATCCCTGCAGAGGAGGGGAGAGCTGTCTTAGCAGGCTGATACAGCAACATCAGCAAAGCCTGAGGGATTCAAATCCTGAGAGCAGCAGGGGCAATTGATCACAGCACAGCAACTAGGAGAGAAACCCTTGGCTAGCACTGCTACTGCAAGAATATATTTAGAGTATATTTACAGCTCCAGAATGAGCACAAACTGTTGTGTGACAGATATGCAGCTCTATAGCAAATAACCTAAATTATCAATAAATCATAGAGAAATACTCTCCCATTCCTGGAATTCTGCAGGATCAGGTCCTTTAAAGACAAGCAGAAAGCACAGAGGGCTGATAAAGATTGGTGTTACTGTGTGTAGTGCCATACTGATGCTTTGCTCTCACACTCTGCTGTTTGTTTTTTCCATGGAACTTGGGCTGGTTTCTTTCAGAACCTAGAATTATTTAAGAGTATGCAGTGGTACAGAGTGGAAATAGAACATTCCCTCCTGGCCTTTGGTACTTTCCCTTAAATTACTATTTGCACAAATTCCCAGGAACAGGCTGTGGGTGCACAGTGCTCCTTCATGCTGAACTTGAGTTTCATTGTTCTTGTCACTGACCTTCCCCCACTGACTCTGAAGCAAAGGGAAGCAGATCCCAGACAGCAATCCACCTAATGTGGTTCAGAAGTGCAACATCCTATTCTCCTGCACTCGGCTCCTTTTCCTCGGACGAGGCTCAGGCCCTGTGAACCGTATCCTGATTGCCCTGAGCTGTGCTCACCATCTGGCAGTGCAGTGCTGCGTGTGGTGGCTCACACTCCCCCCTCGCTCAGCTAAACAGGTACCTTGGCCACTTCATCAGCCAGCTGCTCTGCTCCTCCAAGAGGAGGAGGCTGGAGTGCAGGCCAGTGGCTCTGCCAACAGCAGGCCATCAGGGGAAGGAATTAAAAAGGCCTGGATGCCTCCCTGCTCACACCTGTGCCTGCAAAAAGCACCAGAAGAAATTATCTGCCATCACTGGTCCTGCCTTCGCTGCTTTCCCACTCTCACACCTATCCTTTGTCCCTCAGAAAGCACTAAAGGGGAAAAGCATTAGAAATGAAAGGCTCGGGCAGTCACCTAGGTCTGTGCCGTACAGAAGAGGCTAACTGACCTTCCACCTCTCTTCCACAGATTCACAATGCACCTGAACTGGCCTCTTTCTGTGAGGGCTTCTTCCTCAAGCACATGAGCTCTCTCCTGGAGCAGGACTCGTTCAAGCAGCTCATCTACAGCAGGAACAGCAAGGTGCAGGGCCTGGAGCCGCTGCGGGACCTGCAGGCAGCCCTGGCCCTGCGCCTGCACTCCGTGTACGTCACCTCCAGGGTGTGAGGCAGCAGAGCCACGGGCACGTGTCACCAGGAAGGCTGTGGCTGTCCTGTTTGCCTTCTGGATCTCGCTGAAAGTTCCCTACAACAGCCACCCCCAGGCAAGGGTGCTGAGGGAGGGGGAGCTGGCTTCTCTGTGCTGCTACTGTCACAGACACACTGTCACAGCCCAAACAAGAGCTGAGGATGCGAGTGAAGGACCTGAACTTCCCACAGGCACAACGCAGGGCTGTAGAGAAAGGGGCAATTTACCTAGAGCCAACACCTAATCCGTAAACTAAAGTGTCTCCACACCATAACAGCACCTAGTTCATACACATAGATGTTTTCTGCTGGAAGGAGTTTCCTGCTCCCATGGCTCACTGCCCACCCCATGAGCCATCTGTCTGCACACAAAGGCTGGTGGCACAAACTGCTTCGCTGCAGCAACAACAGTGTCTGTACATGGCAACAGGCTCTGACACAAGTTTTCCCCAAAACCGTTTGCACCTTGAGAGAGAGATTTTGTATGTTCAAAGCTGAGTAGAAACTAATACTAACTTTGAAATTACTCACTCCAAGCCTAATAGGAAGAACAGAGCTGGGGCAGGGAGGGGAAAAGTTGGGGGTTTGTGTGTTTTTAAATTCACTTTCACTGTGCTAGTTAATCTGGATCTATTTTGAGGAGAAAGAAAAGACTGTCTACCCTTTCACTGTCAAGATCTCACAGTCTCAATCACTTTCATTTTAAAAACCTGTTTCTGAACATTAGCTGTGAGACCTGACACCATGCCAGACACTTTCTAGAAGACTCAGGTGTAGTAGGAGCTAGCACTCTGCTGAAAAACTGCCCCATCCCACAGATAGCAATAAAAGTCTCCCCAAGACCCTGAGGAACACACAGCTCAGTGGTTTGTTCTCTCTACGGAGCTAGTTAGGACGAGAAGCTCTGACCTCTAGTCTCCACTTCCACAGCCTCAGCCATGGAATGGTGTTTCCACAGATACACTACCTCAGGGGGTCTGGGCACTGCACTCCTGACAGGTTCCTGGAGGTAGGCTGCAGCCTGATGGTTGGGCAGCAGCACTTAAACTCAAATGCCCAAGATTCACATTCTTCCTTTGTTCACAGATGTTTCTGGTCCAAAAGGCCTCATTCTAGGCCTCACTCTAGCTGACTTAGGAGAATGAAAAGCAGACAGTTCAATCTACAGTTCTGAATCTCAACCTGGTTCTGTGTGTGCTTTTTAAATTTTAAGTAATCCCAGCTGTAGGAAGGCAGTTAGTTGTGTTAAACACAGACCTTGCTCTTACCAATAGCTTTAAGGAAAGACCTTCAGCTACTCCCACTGAGCTTTGCCACCACACACCAGAAGCATTTGCCAAGACACTTTCATTCTTTACAGAAGGGTAAAGGAGAAGAGGAAGCCAAGTTTTCAGTGGAGAACTATTCCTTCCTAGAAATTCAACAGTCAATTAATATTCCAACTAAACACACAGGAAGGAGGAGGCTCAGCTGGGCCCAAGCTCCAGAGCACAACACAGACACAGTTGTGCTGGTTGGGTAGATGAAAGGAAGGAGAAGGAACTATAGCATCTCCCACCAAATCCATCAAAATCTGACACAGCCTCATTCCTAAAGGATTTACACAAGAGGCAAATTGCATGCATGGATAAGGATTTTCAGTCTAGGCTCAGTCAGCTGACAGACAAGTTGGTCAGGGCACACTCCCTTTGTGCTTTAGGTACACATCTGCTTCTGAGCATCACCAGCTCCAATAACCCTATTTATTACTAGAAAGCCATACAGGGGGTTCAAAATGATCACTGGTCTGCCCGAGAACTACCACAGAAGGTTTTATTTTGGAAAGTATTTTCAAGTAGCTGCTCCAGCTATCTGTACAAATATGTAGGTCCTCTTTTGTTGCTGTAATATTACAATGCTTTGTTAATTGTACATTAATGTTGTCATTTATGTAAATGTACCAGGATTTTATTAACAACTTAATTTTAAAATACACAGCTACTGTTATTTATTCTGCTCTTCTAACAATGGGAAAACCTACACATTTTAAAGGCATTTCTGTGGGAAAGGCTGTTGCAGTTTTAGCATCTTAAATTTGTTTTGGTGTATACAGCTAATTTTAGGGATAAAGAGGCACTCGTTTCCCTTTCCTAGGCTCACACATTTTTTTGAATTAGTAAATTTAACTTGCATTTTTCCCTAGCTGCAGTAAGTGTACCTGCTTTCCCTCAGAAAGCACCAGGTGGTAGTGTCTAAGAAAAATCCTAATTCTAGGATCCTTCTCTGCAGCAGGAGAGACAGTGAGGGCTGAAACAACTCTTATGCCAGAGGTAGTAAAAAACAAGCAGGTGACCCTTCCCTTCCACATCACCTCAGAAGCCCAAAGGCCAAAGTGGCTCTGGTTGCTGCACTGTGCAGGATTCATGTCAGAGCAGAGAGCAGTTAAGACACTCTGACAGACACACAGTCAGGCACGCAACAGTCCAGGGCACATACTCATCTGAGAGGTAAAAGCATAAAGGTTTAACAGCAGCAATTTGACCCAGAACTATTCTGGGATTTTTTCTTGGAAACCCATCAGCACAAACACCAACTTGTTCTCAAGAACCATGGAATACAAACACTTCAGATTCCCTTTGGAGCACTTGGACAAGTGGGTTAAACAGAAATTTCTTACGAAATCAGTTGCATACTGCCTGTGTTTTATAGAGTGCTGCTCCCAGAGCCCGAGAAAGCAACACAGCAGCTTTGGGGCAGCACAGAACTTCACTGGCCATAATGACATCAGGGAGCAGAGGAAATAAACAGCTCACACATCTGCCTGAACACGCTCCATGACTTTCAGCCTAAAATAAAGCCTTTTTGCTTTCTAATAAGCCTTTGCACAGCAGGCAAGCACTGGCTAATGCAGCACCACTACTCACTGGCCCTTTGCCCTCACCAAATGCTGCCCAGGCAGGCAGACACTGCTTCCTGCACCTGCCACAGCGACACAGCCAAGGGCACACGGGAGGCAAGAGAGAGGAGACTCCCCTGAGGAACAGGGCAGCAAGCTGCTGTCACAGTGCCTGTGGCAGAGGAGAGCACTCCAAAGCTGGACCTGCCTCCCCCAAGGGCAGGTTTGAGTCTAAGGGATCCATTAATCCACAGCTAAACCAGAGCACTAACACTCCATGTTATTGGCTGCAGCAAAGGAGAGGCAGGAAAAAAGGTGTCTGTGTATGAAAAAAAATAAATCACAGCAGAGCAGGGAAAAAGCGACACAGCCCAGAGCTGGAGTCACCTCAGTGCTGTCCCTGTTCCTATGGTTCTGAGCACAGGACTTCATCTGACACTCCTCTCTCCTTGTCAAGCTCAGGCTGCAGAAATCTTCCTTCCACCTCACTCCATCACCAGCCTCCTGTGCCTGCTAACACAGAGCACTGCTCAGAAATCACACACCACGAGGCACGAGTAGTTCCAGGGCCCTCACCAAAGACAGGAGTGTGATTCAGAGACTAAGCAGCAGTGACACAGTCAAACAAAAATCCAGTTCTGGAAGCAAAGAAAAAACTCCCAAAGGAATATCATGATGGCCAAATGGAAAAGACACAACTTCCTCCTGCCCCTTCTATGCCTTGCCCAGTACACCAGCTCTGCTCTCCAGACAGCCCCTTCTCCCCCACAGAGCCATGGGAGGTGAGACCTCTCCTCACAGCAGCCTCAGCTTCCCCGAGAGAGGTGAGACCTCTCCTCACAGCAGCCTCAGCCTCCCCGAGAGAGGTGAGACCTCTCCTCACAGCAGCCTCAGCCTCCCTGGCTTGCACCT